CATATATAGAGTTTGCGTCATCGTTAAAGTTTATATGTTTCCAATAGAGCAATGATAGTTGCTCTTTAAACTGATTAATATTGTCCTTGTTAATATGACGCAGTCTTATTTTTATGCTTGTCTTAATGATAGTTTCGGGGTTACAGTTAAATGTTAAGAATATAGGGAAGTGATCAGAAATATCAGCTTTTAAAATACATTTTTGTATGTTTTAATTAAGGATATCTGTTGTAATAATAGAGTAGTTGTGTTTATTGTTACTCTTGTCGGTTGATTAATTAAAGGAACCGCTCCTAATTCAAATATTGCGTCATAAAACTTTTTAACTTTAGTATCCTCATAATAAGAAAAAAGTATTCATGTTGAAGTCTCCAATAACAAAAGTTTTTTTTTTTCTTTAGTGTTTTTTTGAATATGTTTTGTTCAAAAAAAATGGTCAAGTTTTTGCCCATAAGTTGACTTCGGCTTCGAATTCGGTGCCGAAGTTGAAATAGAAATTCAACTTTTAGATAAGTTCGGTATTAATTTCATTTGACTTTTAGTTAAATTCGAAAGCTAAAAATTTTTTTTCAATTTATAAAGTAGAATTATAGAATATATTGTATGTTTTATGTATATCACCTGTTTCTATTGGTTACAACCCTCTTTCAGAGTTGAGAGAGTGTTGTAATCATTATAAGAAGTAGCTTCCTCGACTAAAGTGGCCCACTTAAACTTGGGAACATGAATTGGGTAAAAAATAAATAAAAAATTGTTCATGTTCGTTCAAAAACATTAGGAGCTATAAAGATTCCGTAAAGGGGCATTCAAAATGACATACGCAGTAAAACCATTGATTTGGAATCCCCTAAATCTTGTACGAACTTGTATGCTTTCAAAGACCCTCCTTCTCTCTGCGTACAAACGCATTTTTTTTTTTTTTTTCCAAAACAATATCAATTTTTTTTTTCTCTCCTCACTATTTATAAAGAAGTTGTAAAAAAAATTGTGAATGAAGTCAGAAAAACAATCCTAACTCTAATTTGTTACACACGTGAAATTCAATGTTTAAAAAAATTAAATTAAGTTTAGAGGGAGAGGGGGTTTTAAAGATGTACTCACTGTCTTTAAAACCCCCTCCCCTCTTGTACGCGTTCGTACGCTTTTAGGACCCCCCCCCCACACACACACACACACACTCTCTCTCCCTATACCTGCGTACGTACTTTATGGATGGCCTCTTATAAAAAACGATTATACAGCAACCGCTGCGCAGTGGTTAGAGCGTTTGCTTTAGAAGCAAAAGACCTAGGGTTCCAAGAAAGTTCTAGGCATATTTCGCACCGTCGGTAAGAAAAAAGGTTTGAACAAATGATGCTAACTTATTCCTTTCAAACAGTGATATCTTTGAACTTTTTAAAACAACAAACAATGAGCTTAGAAATGTATTGAGTTGGTTTAAATCTTATAAATTAACTCTTAATACTAATAAAATAAAGTGGACCTTATTCCATTCGCTTTCCAAAAAACGGTATTAGCCATTAAACTTCAAATTAAAATAAAAAGGGATTCCGTAACAAAATATTTAGGTGCTTATCTTGATGAAAACATCACTTGGAATCATCATATCGACTACATAAGCACTAAAATTTCAAAAAACATAGGAGTTTTATATAAAGCACGAATCTACCTCAATAAGAAAATTTTAATAAAACTTTATTATTAATTTATACACAGTTATTTAAATTATACTAATATCGCCTGGGGTAGTACAAAAAAGTTGCAACGTCTTTATCGCCGTCAGAAACATGCTATCCGTTTAATCTGTTTTGCAAATCGCTTTTCTCACGCAAAACATTATTTTATTGAAATGAGAATTTTAAATATATACGAGCTAAATATATATAATGTTTTATGCTTTGTATACATGTGGAAAAATGACTTGTCTCAATCTGCCTTCAAAGATATTTTTACTCCGAAACCCATCAACAAATACAATTTGAGAAATACTAATGAACTTTTCTGTCAAACGAACTTTAATCAATTTTGTATTGCCGATCGGGTACCACACCTTTGAAATAAAATTGTTTTTCCTAATTTTGACTTGGAACTACCCATTACTTTTCGTTTTTTTAAAAGTAAATTAAAAACCCTAATTTTTTCGTTAGATGACGTACTATGTTATTATTAATAATATGAATTAATAACTTTGCCTTTTCTTATTTACATTTGTAAAAAGTTTATTCTTACTTATTTTGTTGATTTTATATTCTTTACTTAACATATACTTTTATATAAAATATTGGTGAGTAGATCCGCGTGATCTCTCTTTGAAATATATATTATATACTTTTGAAATTTGTAGAAATTTGATACTGTTAATGCTTGTTTGAACTTGTTTAAGGTTCTGACGACAAGACCATTTGATCTTCTTTTAGATACCTTATTTTATATTTGTGAAAGTTTATTTTTTTTTTTATTATTATTATTATTTATTTTTTTTGCAATATATAGTTGTAAT